CCCCAAAACCCCAAAACCCCAAAACCCCAGAAAATCTATTAGCATAACTTAATGACAAGTGAATTTTATAAAATAAATTTTCAAAACAAGTTAAATAAATCAATATCTATCACATGGAAAATCATAGTTTCTTAATTTATTAATGCTATCGAGGATTAATTTATTGCTGATGCTATCCTGCAATTTTTTAATTCCCACCATATATAACACTTTGGAGCCTGCGGGTATTTTCATTTTTGCTATCAAAAAATGTTTGAAACTGTTACACTAATTCTAGATTCCTAACGTTTCCTTTGAATGTATAATTAAAGCTCTTACTCTATTCTCCTTCTCTTTTCCTTTTAGGGGAATTTAGTAGTTTCTTTTAAGATGTGTTCATTTAGTAAATTTAGATTGCATTTTATAAAGGAGCCTTAACTCCGACTTTGTTCATGATATTAACAGTTGAGATGTTAGTAGACTAAGTATTATTACTATTAAGACTATTTTCTACCCTAGTAGTATAAGCTTTTTCTCTACCCTGCCTGGTAGTGCTAGTAAGTTCTCTTTGATTATCAAAAGATTAATCTGCTGTTGATATCTGAGGTAACTTAAGCCTTTCAAATTTAAGTTAAGATCCTCTATCATTATTATTTACATTAAGTCTTATCTGAGAGCTATTCATATCAAGAGAATTCTTTTTACTATTTTTAGTCATTAAATACTTCACACGAAGTTCTTAAAGTAATACCTTAACATGATTAAACTCAACAATCAGTGGTTTTAAAGGTTCATAATCGACCATATCCTCACTGATCTTCCTATAATCTTGATGCCTTATTATTCTTAAAAGCTAGCTTATAAGTAACTTCTAACTTCTTTGCCTATATACCTCTTTATTGTGCTTTTCTAACTCTAATATATTAAAGGGCTTGGTAATAAGTTCTTGAAGTTTATAAACAAGATCTTTTTCATAAGGTCTCAATATTTTAATAAGCTCCTTTTCCTATTCTGATAATTTCCTATAATCCTCAGTTTAAGATGCTCTTTGATTAGTATCCAGGCCATTCATAGTGATTCCTAGTAAAGGGTTTTCCTTTGTAGAGTTATATCTTTCGTGACTTTTTTCAGGTAATCGAGGAGGTTTACTAAGTGAATTATTAGTTGATGTTTTAAATCGGCTTATAGTTTTCATAGATCTGAGAAAGTCATTCTCACTCTTGTGGATGCTTATAAGCTGTTCTAAGTCTTTGGACACTTTTGATTTGACCAAATGATCTTTGTCAATAATATCTATATCATCTTGATTCTATTTCTTTGTTTTCTTTTTCTTTTGCAATTTTTGCTTTTCTCGTATCTCTTGATTTCTTTCTTTGATGTATTTTTACAATTTTTGGAATTTAGGTTCTCTCTATACAAAATCGTAAAACAGTTTCCAGCCACTTATGTCTTTAAACTCAATTTAATTTTTATCATAGCCAAAATCTGGAACAACTGTCATACTCTGAATTTGTTCTTAGATTTCGCTTAATTCTTGATACTTTTCGGCACCTTAAGACTGGATGGGTATTTTAGGTCTATAAATGGAAAATTTCTTTCAACCTCCTGGACTTACGAGATCCACATAATCCTTATTCTCAATTATACGTGTAGTCAAAATAGGACGAACATTTTATTATTACTTCTTTTTCTCTGGGTACCTTACAGAGGAATCATAGGATTATTACATGATTATAGAATTGGGACTATTATAAAATGATTTATCGATATCCTCCTCGTCTTAGCTTAGATTAAAAGTTACACTCATTTTATTTGATCTAATTAATTTCTTTATTTTACCAAATTATTTCAGAAAAACCAATTACTAAATTAACTTTAAGGGGTTTTGGGGTTTTGGGGTTTTGGGG